CCCCCCGCCGGTCTCCTGCTCTCCCACCTCGTCCTCGTCAGTCATCGACATCTTTGAATTAGCCATCGAACCTTCCCTGCCTTGAGCTTCCCTGCCTTGATTTCCCTGGAAGAATTTGGGTTCCAGGCAGGAACATGATGCCTCTCCAGGACACATATATTGACATACGGCACTAAAGTAGCCCAACGATTCGGTGTTGGGTCGCACGCGCCTGCTCCCGTGAGCCTCGCAAGTCAGAATCCAGCCCCGGCGCATTCGACGTGCCGGCTGACTGACCCCGGATGCATTTTGTGGACGTTGACATCGACGGCTCCATGCTATCGGTGCTCTACAACTCCCGTTGCATCCTTGACTCTGCCGTTGGTATCCTCGGCGACACTTCCAATGGAGTATGAGTCCACGACCCGTACTTAATCTACCGACACACGCCAGCTCACCCCGCCATCTTGCCCCAAGCTAACTCAAGGAGGTCGGCTCTCTCGCTCAGAGATGATTAGGGACACGATTTCGAAATTCTTGGTGCGTCGTGCCACAATACACTCCCTTCGGCTCCCTGATCTGTCTATTCAGTCTGCCACGGACCTCGTTGCACTCGCCAACAGGCCGCTGCCAAATGCTCCAGATGGGAAGTACCCGTATCAAGTGCAGCCAAAGCAGACTGCGCCTCAGTCAGGGCCCACCGCCGCATACAAGGCGACACACTCGAGGTTGACGCTTCTGATGCAGAAGCTGCAGACGATATTCGAGCACGGCCCCCCTGTCCACGATCCAGGGAATTTCATAGTGAGTATCGTACGCGTAGGATCCGACTTCGCGCGAAATGACACGCATGCACCAGAAAGCGGCCCTGCAAGCCTTCGAGAACCCCGATGCGATCAACGACCGCAAAGACCTCTTCGTCGACCTGCTCAGCGCGCTCTGCAAGCTCCCACAGGACACAGAGTTTTCCAAGGAGGCGAACGGCAAGGCCATCGCCTTTCTCTACAACTCGCTCCCGCACCCGCCCGCGATGTACGTCGGCTCCGACCCGTCTGGGTCGGTACCATGGACCGAGGCGAACGCGTCGACACCTGCAGCGCCAGCGACGTCCTGGGGCGCGAACGGCGCGCCGTCAGGCTCAGAACCATCGAAAGGCTCAGACGCACCGACACCGCGCGCGCCGTGGGCGTTCCGCAGCGCCGACGGGAGCGGGAATAACGTCTGGCGGCCTGCGCTGGGTCAGTCCGGCCGGCCGTACGCGCGCGACGTCGAGAGCGAGCAGCCGCTGCCGGCGAACGTCCTTCCGGACCCGGGGCTCGTGTTCGACGCCCTGCTCCGGTCTCGCGGCGACGTGCGTGTCTGCCTTTTTCTCTTTTCTTTTCTTTCTTGCCTGTGCTCCCCGCGCTGATGTGTGCCCCCGTACAGTTCAAGCCGCACCCCGGACGCAACTCGTCGCTGACGTTCGCGTTCGCGTCCCTCGTCACGCACACGCTCTTCCGCACTGCCCCGACGGACATGACGGTGAACAACACGACGTCGTACCTCGACCTGTCGCCGCTGTACGGCACGACCCAGGCCGAGCAGGACCTCGTGCGGAACAGGGGCGCGGGGCGCGGGCTGCTGTGGAACGACGCGTTCGCCGAGGACCGCCTCGTGCTCGTCCCGCCCGCGGCGAGCGCGCTCCTGGTCCTTTTCAGCAGGAACCACAACGTACGTTCCTGTCGCGCGCCTTTTTTTTTGGCCTGAGCTCGGGCTGCAGAGGCTGACGTGTGGCGCGCTGTAGTACACCGCAAATATGCTGCTGAAGATCAACGAGCGCGGACGGTGGAAGGACCCGCCGCCGTCGGACCCGGCGCAGCGGGCGCAGCAGGACGAAGAGATCTTCCAGGTCGCGCGGAACGTCAAGTGCGTATTCCTATTCTCGCTTTCATTCGTGCCTTGCAATTTCACGAGCGTTTGAGCGTGGGTTCGCGGATACGCGCGCGACCGTGCCCGGACATGAACTTTCTGCGGCGGCTTCAGAGGGACATAGGCGTGTACTGACATGCTGGGTCGTCTTTAGCTGCGGTCACTTTATGGCGATGATCTTTGGCGATTATGTCGGCGGATTCTTGGGCCTGCCGCGCGACGGTCTGGCCTGGAGTATGAACCCTTTTGACGTGCGCTCACCAATACTTTGTACCTGTGCCACGCTGATATCGAGTGCAGCCCATCAAGACGCCGAGTGGCGAGGTCGTTGGGCGTGGTGAGGGCAACCATGTTTCTGTCGAGTTCAACCTGCTGTACCGCGTATGTTGCTCAGTTCACCTATTATCTGGTGCAATGACTGACGAGGTGCCCAGTGGCACGCAACGATAGCAGAAAAGGACATTGGCTGGACGAAAAAACTCTTCACCGGAGTGTTCCCCGGCAAAGACCCCGAGAAGCTGCAGCCCAGCGATTTCATTGCCGCAGTCGGACGCTCGTGGAGCTCCCTTGTGGACCCAAATCCGCGCACGCGAACATTCAACGGGCAGGTTTTCTCGACCTTCCCAACGTGCTTTGGCTGACGTTATCGTCCAGGCTTGAGCGCGGCCCCGACGGCGCCTTCGCAGACGACGCTCTCGCCGACATCCTCCAGACGGCGACCGAGAGCGTCGCGGGCGCGTACCGCGCACGGGGCCACCCCGCCGTCCTGCGCGTCATAGAGACGATGACCATCGAGCAGGGCCGACAGTGGGGCATGTGCTCGATGAACGAGTTCCGCACGTTCCTCGGCCTGAAGCCGTTCGCGGACTTCGAGGACTGGAACCGGGACCCCGCGATCGCAGGCGCGGCGCGGCAGCTGTACGGACACATCGACTACCTCGAGCTGTACCCCGGCATCCAGGCCGAGGAGACGATGCCGCTCGGCCCCGGGTCGGGCATCTGCTGCGGCTACACGATGACGCGCGCGATCCTCGCAGACGCCATCGCGCTCGTGCGCGGAGACAGGTTCTACACGACCGACTACACGCGTAAGGCGCCCTCGCGTTTCTTTTTTTTTGTCCCCGACGCGACGCTGACTGTGTTCTTGTCGCATCCAGCTGCGAACCTGACCTCGTGGGGCTTCCAAGACTGCGCGCGCGACCCGAACAACGGCGCGTTCGGCGGCGCGCTGCCGAAGCTGCTCATGCGCCACCTTCCGAGGCACTACCCTGGAGATAACATATATTCGCTCTTCCCGTTCTACACGCCGGCCGCAATGAAGGAGAACCTGGCCAGGCTCGGGATCGCGGACCAGTACTCGGGCTTGGACGGCAGGCGCCCGCAGGTGCTGCCGGTCCCGAAGGTCGTCGATACCATCGAGGGCCTCGTACATGTGCTCGCGGACGCCGATAAGTTTGGGACGCCGTACACACGTAACATGAAGCTCCTGACGGAGGACTACGGCTTCTTCCTAAACTTTGACGAGCAGGACAAGTGAGTCCAGGCTGCTCTTTTCTATTCGAAGTTGGGGTTACAGGCCAACGATGACGTGCCACAGACATGCGAAGGACAAGGCGTGGGCCGCACACGCGCTGTTCCCCAAGGGCCGGGAGTCGTTTGAGGACCACATGCAGGCATACAAGAGCATCACCGAAGGCCTCGTCAAGGACTACTCGTATAACATCGACGGCATCCCTGGCACACGCGTCGATATCGTGGGCAACGTCATCAACCTCATCGCCGTGCGGTGGGTTTCGGACTACCTGGTCGGTTTCTCCCGGTTTTGTTGAACCTGCTTGCATGGTCTGACGAGCGAGCAGATGGGCATTCCGCTGAAAACGAAGGAAACCCCAAAGGGCTTGTTCACGGAGCAAGAGGTGTACAGCATGCTCGCACTGCTCTTCACTTGCGTGTTTCTATCTTCCCAGCCGGAGAACGCCTGGGTGCTCGAGCA